TAGAGTTTACTAGTCAGGCAATGACCATGAAATTTTTTTATTTCCATCTTTGCTGAAGTGTAGCATCAACTAATTTCTTCATTTCGTCGGTAAGGTACCCTAGTTTGCCTTTTCCATCAATCACCAATTTTATTAATTGGGCTCATTCAAGGAAATTTCTTCCATTTAGTTGAAAAGAGTTCTCAAAACCATGAGAATCAATTGCAAGGTTGGTCTCTATTTCTACTTGAGAGGTGTCGAAGGTGACTGACCCCAAGCTGTTGACGGGGATTCAGTCACAGATTGCTAGGTTCAGACAAGCCTGGGCTCTAATATGATAAAAACTTAAAATCATAATTCTTTTCTGTATTTCTCAATGAATTACACATTCCTACTTAAATCTTTTTATAATACAGTAATGTAAATAATGAAGGAAAACCAATCTCCTAATTTAGGATAATAATAAAAACCTATCAATTACCATATAAGTTTATCAATTTAAACAAAGGAAAGATTTTGATATCTTTCCATAATTCACGAATTCCTACAAGTTACTTCAATTTCCACTTTCTGTATGATTACTGAGTTGAATCATCGAAAGATGAAATGATAAGAGCGGGTAATCTTTGCTCAATATCGCAAAGTTACTCGAATTAAATGTTTACCAGCCTAGGAAATGAGTGCACAATGTTTATTTACCTGTTGCAACACACTTTTGTTAAACCAATAAAAACAACAGAAGTCCAATGAAAATATTATATTATCATTCCTAGGATGAGATTACATGCATCTCTTCCAGTATAACAAGACAGGACTCAAATATAAAACGATAGTGTGAACTGCTACATTTTCAAGATTCAAACTTCTTAAAATTCAAGATTCTTCTTCCCCGCAAGATCCTCAAGAGTTAGATTTAAAGTATCAACTGATCCTTTCTTTACTTCCTCACCACGAGCAGCCAAAAACTCCTCAACACTACCAGGTTTTCCAAACCACCCCAATCGATCAGCGATCAGGTGCAAATTATTACATCCATCACATCTAGCCACCACCACACCTTTATCATACGATTCACGACAAATTGTCTTCACAGATCTGGTATCACAAACTTTGCACGTAAAAATCATGGCAAGATCGTGCCTTTCAGATACCTTCAAGTTAGATTTCACACTATGTTTAGCAGTGATCTCGTCATTCATTGAACTTGAGACACGATTCGTTTCACCTGCATCATCCTTTGAGCAGCAATTTTCACGTTCCTCTGGAGATTCAACATTTGGCCTACTGACTTCTCCATGCGTCTGAAATCTTCTAGTAAAATTTTCATATCTGCAGAAGAATGAGTTTGCAGAGAAGCGAAAATCCCTGTGGAGCTCTGCAGCAAATTGCAGGAAAAAAATGTATCAATTACAGATATAGTTTTTGTATTTGGAAAAGCAGTTGAAAGCTACAAGTAGCATCCCATCCCATCTATACTACTTTGTTTTTCCCCAAGTAGTTTCTCTCCTGGCAGTAATATAGCCATAATAAAGTCCCAAATGCTCAAAAACAACTCTGATTTCTTGATCCCGCGATTGTTTTCATTCCCCAACTGGGCCTTGATTCTATCTCATATCCACGCAGGTTAGTAACTCTCAAAACATACATACGTCTAGAACCAGATGACAACAAATATACTGCTCAAAGGGAAATGGGGATTCAAAATAATTAAGCTCCATTAATTATTCATTTCCACAATTAACATTTAGCTGCAAACAAATTCTAATTATTAGGTTTCCATTGCTGGAAAAATAAGCACTTATTTTCCACTTTGTAATGTGTTATGAATGATCTCAAAGATGAAGTTTTGTGTATGATATTTATTACTCAATACAACAAGCATTATCTCATACTTAATTGGGTTCAGCTGCATGAATACTTTAAATCTTCCAAAAGTCATGTCCAAAGTTAAACCACAAAGGCTCAGTTCTTTCTAATTCCATAACGTGTGATTTTATGCTGCCTGCCTCTGGTAGTTTCATCAATTCTCCAAATTCTGTCAAATGGCATTACTGAATACACCC